CTGGGATGAGAAGGTGGAGGGAGACGCGCGATGAGGAGGATGAGGAGGATGCTAGAGCCTAGAGGACAGAGGAGGGACCAGGCGGAGGCATCTTGGGGGAGAGGAGCAGGAGGAGGAGGAGGAGAAGGAGGAGGAAGAGGAGAAGGAGGAGGGGGGCGGAGGAGGAGGAGGGGGAGGAGGAGGAGGAGGAGGAGGAGGAGGAGGAGGAGGAGGAGGAGGAGGAGGTGGAGGAGGGGGAGGAGGGGGCGGAGGGGGAGGGGGAGGAGGGGGACGAGGACGAGGACGAGTGGGAGGAGGGGGAGGAGGAGTCGCAGGGCGACGGCGGCGGCGGCCCTGCACAGGCGGCGCTGCGGGCCTCCGCGGCGCCCTCGCCGGAGGCCTCCCCAGCCCGCGGGGAGCCCCTGGTCGGCGCCCCGGCGACGAGGGGAATCGGATGTCCAAGAGAATGAGGGCCAGGATGAGGCTGAAGATGAGGATGAGGAGTGTCAGGTCGAGAAAGAGGATGCAGGCCTCGTGTGCCTCGATTGCAGGTCGGTGGGGCGCCGAAGCGTACAGTCCTCCGCCACATTTCCAGGCTTGGGGCGATTGCCAGCATAGGCTGTGCCCGAGAGGTCCTGGAATTGATGTGTGTAAGAAGCCAAGGCTGCCCGGGAGTCCTTGATGTTGTTTCCTCACAGTGGTCGGGGGCGGAAAAGAGGGGGGTGATGACTAGGGGTGCGTGGGTATCATGGCGGGGGCCATGATGTTTCCCCAGATCTCATGGCGCCTCTTCTTGTTTCATTACGTCCCTGGACCCCCCGCTGGGCGGCGCACATGCCGCCGGTCATGATTTGCACCCCCCCCTTTTGGACACCCCCCTCTTGGCCGCTCCCGAAGAGAATGAGGGCCAGGATAAGGCTGGAGATGAGGATGAGGAGTGTCAGGTCGAGAAAGAGGATGAGGAGGAGGATCGGATGCGCCAGAGAGGGACTTGGAGGAGGAAGGTTGGCGCCCCGGCGACGAGGTGAATCGGATGCCAAAGAGAATGAGGGCCAGGATGAGGCTGAAGATGAGAATGAGGAGTGTCAGGTTGAAAAAGAGGATGAGGAGGAGGATCGGATGAGCCAGAGAGGGACTTGGAGGAGGAAGGTTGGCGCCCCGGCGACGAGGGGAATCGGATGCCAAAGAGAATAAAGGCCAGGATGAGGCTGAAGATGAGGATGAGGAGTGTCAGGTCGAGAAAGAGGATGAGGAGGAGGATCGGATGAGCCAAAGAAGGGACTTGGAGGAGGAAGGTTGGCGCCCCGGCGACGAGGTGAATCGGATGCCAAAGAGAATGAGGGCCAGGATGAGGCTGAAGATGAGGATGAGGAGTGTCAGGTTGAGAAAGAGGATGACGAGGAGGATCGGATGCGCCAGAGATGGACTTGGAGGAGGAAGGTTGGCGCCCCGGCGACGAGGAGGATCGGATGCCACAGAGAATGAGGGCCAGGATAAGGCTGGAGATGAGGATGAGGAGTGTCAGGTCGAGAAAGAGGATGAGGAGGAGGATCGGATGAGCCAGAGAGGGACTTGGAGGAGGAAGGTTAGCGCCACGGCGACGAGGAGAATTGGATGCCAAAGAGAATGAGGGGCAGGATGAGGCTGAAGATGAGGATGAGGAGTGTCAGGTCGAGAAAGAGGATGAGGAGGAGGAGGAGGATCGGACGAGCCAGAGAGGGACTTGGAGAAGGAAGGAAGGACGCTCTGGATCTTGAGCAACTGGCAGAAACCTCAGAGGAGGAGATTGTCGCCCGACGTTGAATTATGTTGCCCACAGCTTGTTGCGCACAGCATGTTGACTTCCTGTGTTTCTAATGTCGGTTATTGTCAGATGGGAGGTGCTTATCAGAGCCCGCGGCAAGTTCCGTCACAGCACCAGCGGAATTCTTCGAGAGCCGCGCAGGAGGCTGTACCTTGTTACAGTTGTCGTCTGCAAGCTCAAGAGAGCCATCACATGTTGCACGACAGCTTTCTCCCCGCAGGGGTCAACATAACGATCCTCAGCATGTGATGCCTCTCGCTCCCGCAGTCTCTCACGCCTGAAGTCCTGGGTGAGGGGTCATTGTGGCTTCCCAGGGAGGCCTGCATATGGCATTATGGAGGGGGGGGGTTCTCGAGGGTCTCTCGGGCGTCTCCTGGAGCCGAATGTCGCCCCGGGAAGAACGGTATGAAATAAATGTTTTGGCTGTCGGGGGCGCCTGTCCCTGGGCGGCTGGAAAGTTTATACCCCTACGGTGCCACCGTAAGGGTATCAACTTTTCCAGCCGCCCAGGGACAGGCGCCCCCGACAGCGAAAATGTTTAGTTTATACCGTTCTTCGCGAGTTAATAATGGAAGGCCGTTTGGGCTCCTCTTGAGCTCTCTCAGGGCGGCGGGGGGTCCTCGGGCGCCGACTTTTGGACGTCTCGGGGCGTCCTTGGTCGGGAGGTCTTGGCTGATCCTGGGGCCGTCCAGACCATGGGGGGGGCTATAAATCCTTACGATTCTGTCGGGCCTGTCACATCTACACGGGGAATACGCAAAAAAGTAACAAATAGTCGGGTTTTTTAACATTTTCGAATATGTCTGTTTTGCTTCGATTCAAAAATCGTCCAAAATCGGCCTGTAGGGGGACAGGCCCGACTTAACCGTACGACGAGTGCTCGAAAGCACACTGAACAGGGGCTACCTGCCCTCTACGAAGATAAGAACGAGTTGGGCTGCTTGAGGCCTGGTGCAGCAATCGCGGCCTGAGATGGGATCACGTGCGGAACCAGAAACCGAAGAGGTAAGAAAGGACACCCCTCAGAAGCGTGCTTGGCCTCAGGAACTTAGAGTACTTGAGTGCAGAAATGCTCGACATATGCAGCCACTCAACGGGAATACCAGGGCACGCCGAATGAGACCACCACGCAAACAGAGGAGGAAGGTTGAGGCCGGCCTGCTTTTGAAGCGTCGGCACTTTTACCACGCTCAAAGGACGGCTTCCCTGCTGAAGCGCCCTTCGGATCCGCCCGAGATTGTGAAGTATCTGGGGCTGGGACAGGTGACACGTGACGCTGCAAGAGATTTCCCCAGAGTGTGAGGACTCACGTTATCGACTGAGTCAGCTCGCAGCGCGCCCGACATTAAAGACAGAGCTGAACCAGCGGCGCGCCGATCAGACATTGTAGGTCCTGACGGCGAGGGTGAATCAGCATCCGGACGTAGAGTGCCAGAGCGGGCCCTGCAACAGGACTTCCCCTGAGGTTTGCGCGCAGGCCGGCTGCACCTGCTGGATGTGGTATGGCCCCAACGCGAGGGTAAGGCCCATCAGGAAGATCAGAAGTGACCAGACCATCATGTGTCGCTGGTTTGGCAGTCCAGCATTTCTCCTCCTGACGTTAACGTTGGCCTCGGCGCACAGTTCGAAGTTCCTCCCAGAATTGAATAGGTTCATCGGAGACTTTATTGGCTTTGCCCTGTGCATCCTGAGCTCGCTCCTTGTGCAGAGTCGCTGGCATAGAGGGCCACATGGCCGCAGACATCACAGTGCGCAACAGCTGCAGCAACACTAGTGCCACGAGTGCCCAGCCACACGGTCCTTGGATTGCACACAATCCGCAGCGTGTTGGGGGCCACGGAGACGAATCGTCCTCCAAGGACACCGGAGGTCTCCGAAACCTCTGGTCCCTGTTTCCCCCTGTCCTCCTCTCCCCCCCGCGGCAGGTTCCTGCCATGCTGATGCCGATGCAGCCCCAGCGCCGGCGTTCAAGGTTGAACGCCTCTTGAGGCGAAGATTTCGCTGGCCAGATTGGACGACCTGCGCTATCGGAAAGCCGCGACGACTTCAGAATGAAACATCCACAAGTGTCAGAAACCAACGCGCAGGTCGTCACGACGCGAACCAGCCGTGCCTATTCCGTGCCAGGGAGCTGGGCGTCGACATTGGTGCTTCTCTCCCCCCGTGGGCGGGACGAGCGATGTCTTATGGTTTTACAGAGGTCCTCGGGAGCATGTATCGAGGTCGGTGGATGTAAATATCCCCCCGGCTTGGACCTATGCCTCCCCCCCCCCTTTTCTCCCTCAACCCACCTTCATCGTACAGAAGGCACGCCAAAATGGAACATGGGGTGCTAAGCGAATGCCCCGCGGAAATTGTTGTTTCCCGGATGGCCCTCTGGACCCACAGAAGCCCTTGAGCACCTCAGGAAGCTCAGCGCTCGACCACAGACATGCCCGCGGGCTTTTGATAGCGTCGCACGTTTCCACTGTGCCCCTTCCATTCCTTTTCGATCCCTTCTCTGCCCCTCCCTTTGTCCCCCCCTTGCTCGCCCCGCGCCCTCGCCTTCACTCACTGCGCCCCGCAGTGGCTCACTGGCAACGCTAGGGGGAGATAGGCTCAGGGGGACGCACAACCTCATTGATCGCCGCCATGGGCCCGGTAGCCCACCCCGGTACCCCATCGCTGATCTATCGGCGATGTTTCGCCGATTCCAGGTCGATGTCCCCCCCCTGAGCCAGTCTCCCCTAACGTTCCCCATTGGCTTTCGGGTCATATAACTAGGCTTTCAGACGTTCGTCCTGCACGATTCCGACGCGTTCGGAAGGCGTTCGGCGAGTCGCAGTTGCTGGAGAGCATCCCGAGGCTGGAACGCCGCCGAAAACCGACGAAAACGTGTGAGATCCTAGATCACCCAGAATAAATCACTCTTAGCCATCATAGCGCAGTGAAGACGTGGCCTGACTGAGGACCTCGTCTCTGCGTCAGGGCTCACAGATAGGGGCGCCTCGGCTCGATGCATCCGCAGGAAAGAGCCCCTGCCCCTACTCATGTCCCTGGCCATCCTACCTCAGGGCCCCTCCCAAAGGATTAGGGGCCTCTTTTGGTGAATCGCTAGAGCCTCGAGCTCTTTCCCCCCTTTGCTGCTGCTCCTCACTGGTGCCCCCGCCTGGTGCGCTGAGCGGGGCGCCTCCGCGCTCGCGCGGCGCGCCGGCGCGCGGCTCCCGGAAGCGCCGAGGCCGACGCCGCTGCTCCGGTCAGTGCGCCGCCGTCCCCGGCGCCGCCGCCGCGGGCGCCCGCGGCAGCGGCGGCCAACAGGACGCCAGCTTTTGATCTGATGGGCCGATGTTCCACCACCGCCACCGCCAGATGTAGGAGGGGGAGGGGGAGGAGGAGGAGGAGGAGGAGGAGGAGGAGGAGGAGGAGGAGGAGGAGGAGGAGGAGGAGGGAGGAGGAGGAGGAGGAGGGGAGGAGGAGGAGGAGGAGGAGGAGGAGGAGGAGGAGGGGGAGGAGGAGGAGGAGGAGGAGGAGGAGGAGCAGGAGGACCTCTCCATCCTCCCTTCTTCCCCGTCCTACCTACGGTAGCGGTGGTGGAGAAATTGGCCCATCATTATATCGAGCGGCGCAGGTCGGGCACAGCGATGCTGGCCAGGCCCATCATGGGCACAGGCTCTGTGTATGGATGCCTCCTCGGCCAAGGCACGAGGCCGTATTCACCGAGCCTGGGCTCAGCATGGGTCTGGCCAGTATCGGTATATGTGCACCGTTCTCCTTCCTCCAGCAGCGAGAATGCCAGGATGCGTGTGCTCGATCTGCACGATCGAGGTGGGTGCGGAAAGGGGCGGGGGCGACGACTGCCAGCAGTCCCTGCACATGTCGCACGGGGCTTGCTGTCGGCGTGAGACGCAATCTGGCGTTGGGCATCGTACCCGTTTTCCCGTACCCACTTCTGCAGCGGAGCATGACATGCAATTCGCTCGAGCGAGTGTCGAAGAACACAGTTACATCAACATATCAGATGCTCGGTTGGGGATTTTTGATGGCGCGCACCGAACGGATCGGTTGGACTATAGTTCTTCAGTAGTTCGTCTCGCGGCCGATTCTAGATCGACTCAAGTTCGACTAAAGCTCGATTCCATTCGGCTAACGCTCGACGCAGCATCGACGCATGAGTGCCGCGAGAGTCTTGGGGTAGATCCGCAGAACGAGCGCCGCAAAGAAATACCAAATGATCAACACGAGCTCTCGGTCGGAGGTCCGTGCGGATTTCTCGGATCGGCGTTGGCACCCCCTGGGGCGGCGCCCTTGGCGCCGCTCTCAGAAATCCGCCTGGTGCTGCGGGAGCTTGTGTGTTTGT